ACTTTAAAGAAAATGTGTATCTCAGTTTATGGGGTAAAATTATAGAATAGTTTGGATGATGATTTGAAAAAATGTTTTACTTTAAATCAATTTAAAATACTTTATAAGGAAAAAATGATTAAGTCTTATACACTTTAGAGTTAATGAGGAGAACGATATGTAGTTTGCAGATTCTATTTATGATTTAATGTATGTGGCCATGAAAAATAAATTTAATTATTGAGAAAGGAGCAGGTTTATACAAGGTTTTTTCTCTTCCAGCTCCCTTTTCACTCATACATAGTATGTGTTAAAGGAAAATGTGTTAGTGTGTTATAATGAGGAAAATTGTTGAATTGAGTGAATAAACTTATTTATTGATTGATTGATTGCATCAGGTTAAACACTTCCTGATGTTCTGTCCTCACAGCAACACTTCACTAAAAGATCCTTTTTTGTAAACACTGCAGGCTTTCTAGAAATGTTTTAATCTGTGTGGAAACACAGGAAACAACACAAACACTGCAGCAGGCATGGATTTAGTGCTGCGACATTAAAAATGTCCAGAAACGGAGCATGAAGGTCAGACACAAACTGAGGGTGGTGGATATGAGGAGAAACACTTTTTTCTACTTTTTCTTTCCTTCTGTGCGTGGCATTTTAGGCCAGGTGTGAGTGTTGTTTTAGATGAAGAGGCAAAAGTTTTAATCACTAACATCCACAGGCCTCAGCAGGTTCTACCTGTTTTATAAAAGCTGATCTGAGTTTCTCTCAGATTAAAACACACAAACATAATTTTCTAATCCTGCTGTTAATAAAGTTCATCTTGTTTCTGTTCCAGTGTGTCCTCTGTCTCCCAGTCATCTCACAGCTGGTAAGTTTCAGTCAGTTTCCTTCACATTTCCTGTGTAATGAAAACSAGAGCGACAGCTCACCTTCAGCTCTTTTATTAGAAGTTAAAACAGTTCAGTTAAAGCGAGGATTTAATTCACAAAATGAATCTCAGATAATGAAATTTCACCTTTTCAGTTCTGTCTGTTCTTCAGCTCTCTTCAGAACCTGCTGCTTGCATGAGTTGCTATGGAAACCCCCCTCCCAACCTGTTTACATTAGCTCCGCCCCCTGCCAGAAGTTTACTTTCAGTTTCTTTTCAGTAAAAAAATACTATTTTTTTCCAACGTAGTTCATGGTGAAATTATTTACACAAACTTTCTTCAACATACATGTCAACCTCTTCGGACGTGTACCTGTATAAAAAGTTGCAAAGAATCCGTACAACTCTCACCTGCGGGGGTTCCTGTCAGCTGCAGACATGAGCGCCTGCTGCGAAGSAGGAGGAAAGGAAAGAGGAAAAAGTTCAAAACTTATTTCTAGCAGCAGAACAGGTTGGAACGTGGCTGTTTAATGCTTTAATTTTGCTAGAACATTACCATCAAAAATAAAAACAAAATAAAATTAATCCACACATCTCTGTCCTCCGTGACTGTGAAGCAGCAGAACCGTCCTGTGAAGAAGTGGGCGGAGTCTCTGCTTGGGTTACAGTTTGGGCTCAGGATGGGGTGGGCGGAGTCTGGCCTGTGACATCACAGGCCGCGGGATTTGAAAACTTGACATTAATATACATGAAAATACATTTACTTACAGTAAATATGCACCTGGGTGCATTTTTTTTTGTCCTAGGACTGTTTTATAAGAAGTACACACCCAAAGTTGAGTAAAAAAAACTTTTAAAAAATGAATTTTGCATAATAGGTCCCCTTTAACTCAGTTCTTTGTGGTCACATGCTGTCTGATGAAATAAAGTTTATTCAAATGTTCAATTCAAAAATACTTTATTGATCCTAAAGGGAAATTAAATATCAGTTGATCTAAAGTTTCTCCTGCTTTTAATTGTTTCACTTTAACTTGAATTTTCCTTTAATTGTTGTAAAGAAGCTGCAGTTTTAGTTGTTTTTATTCCTCTTCATCAAACAGACTGTTAACGTCTCTGTTTGTCTCTGTTGGACAGAGACTCACCAGAGAGGACGTCTTTTCCTGGTCCTGCCAGCTGGACTCTTTATCTGCTCTATCTCCATTCTTTTGGTTCTTAAACGGTGTCGATCACAGGAGGTGAGWGTTTCAGCTGCTCTCAGCACAAATAAAAGTGAAAAATGTTGTCATGAATTTCACAGATTGTGAGATTTTTATTCWGTTTCTGTTCCATAAACCCTGCAGTTAAATCTAATCTCCTCAGACTGGACTGATAAGTAAAGCCTGAGTCATACTTGTGCTTTGGTCCACCAGCTGGAGCGTGCACGCACCGAGCCGTGCAGCTTCTGCGTTTACAGTTTCACCGCTGTGTTTACAGTTGATGTGCAGCAAAGTGCTGTTCTTTTACGGACCAGCAGGTGGCAGTAGCTCTAAAACTTGTGCATAGGTTATAAGAAACGGATGTAGAAGGAATGAATGACGTCACACAACTTTATTTAGTTTCTATTTTATTCATTCATGGTCTTATTTAAATTTATAAGTTGTTTTTTCTTTGCAAAAATAAGTGTGGAGCTGCAGCTACTGCCTCCTGTTTTGGCCTTGTATCTTTAGTTTTTAAGTCTATTTTTGAGTGTAAATGATGTTAAATAAAATAAAACTATAAGGTGAAATATTCACTGCAACTTTCCTTCTTAGTTTTGTTTGCATATTGTCTTATTCTCAAAGTCATCAACAGTTTCACTCTATAAAATTAGGTAGCCAATGAATAAGACTTCTTTTATAATTATAAGAAGAACATTCGATGTTATTATAAATTGGAAACCTCAAATGGTATTGTAAATATAATTCCCATCATGAATTAAAAC